CTTCTCTTGCTCACCCGGAGTCTGACTCCCTTCGTGCTGCTAGTCCTTCGGTCACGCGCCTTCTTGCTACTGTTGTCACTGACCTTTCCTGTGAGTCCATTGCTGCGTCTTCTCTAGTTGCTGAGCTTGTCGACTTCGCTGCTCCCTGTCGTCTAGACTACGCTGCCGCTCTTGTTGCTGAGTCTGAGTCTGTCTGTCCTCCGTCCGTCGGGGGTGAGTGTGCTCTTAGCACGGACGTCCTTGAGGACAGGCAGGAGGAGTTCCAGTGCTTTGCGGCTACTTTGCCCCATCTCGTGTCCACCCTGATTGCCTCTAAGGGAGACCCAGATGCACCAGACATCCCGACTCCTCCTACGCTGAGGTGATCGAGAGTCTCTACTCCTCTTAGTGGCAGTCAACCATGGACGCAAAGATGGCTTCTTGGAAGTCCACAAGCACCTACGTCGACGAGGTTCACCCACCTGAGGGGAACATCGTCCGTGGCATGTGGATTTTCAGGGTGAAGCGGTCGCAGGGGTCTCCGCCTGCTTTCAAGGCACGTTACGTAGCTCGAGGCTTCAGACAGCGGCAGGGAGTTGACTAGTTTCAGACCTTCTCTCCCACCCCGAAGATGACCACTCTTCACGTGCTGCTGCACATAGCCGCTCAATGCGACTACGAGCTTCACTCTCTTGAATTCAGCACAGCTTTCTTGCAGGGCAGCCTGCACGAGGAGATCTGGCTGCGTTGCCCTCCTGGCTTCAATCGGTCGTTTCCTCCTGGTACCCAGTGGAGCCTCCGGCAGCCAGTCTACGGTCTCCGCCAGGCACCGCGTGAGTGGCACGACACACTGAGGACTACACTTGCGGCTCTTGGGTTTGCTCCTTCTACAGCCGACCCGTCACTGTTTCTACCCACCGACACCTCTTTGCCGCCGTTCTACATCCTCGTGTACGTCGACGACTTGGTCTTTGCCACTGCTGACACTTCTGGACTCGCCCACGTGAAGTCCGAGCTGCAGAAGAGACACACGTGCACAGACCTGGGTGAACTACGCAGCTATCTTGGCTTGCAGATCACCTGGGACAGAGCACGGCGCACCATTACCCTGACTCAGTCACACATGGTGCAGCAGGTCCTTCAGCGCTTCAGCTTCACGTACTCCTCGCCTCAGGCCACTCCTCTGTCTACTCGCCACTCGCTCTCACCTCTGCCTTCGGATGAGTCCATAGAGCCGAGTGGCCCGTACCCAGAGCTTGTTGGCTGCCTCGTGTACGTGATGACCTGCACAAGACCTGACCTTGCATACCCTGTTAGCATCTTGGCACGCTATGTTGCTTCTGGGAGGCACAGACCAAAGCACATGGCTGCAGCGAAGAGGGTGTTGCGCTATGTGTGCAGTACGTCGGGCATGGGGCTAGTGCTTGGAGGGCGACGTCGAGTAGTCCTCACAGATCACGCTGATGCTTCTTGGGCTGACGAGCAGGCTCTGCAGCGGTCGTCACAGGGTTACACCTTCAGCCTTGGCTCCAGCTTTATTTCGTGGCGGTCTACCCGCTCGTTCTCTGTTCTCGGCTCCAGCTGTGAGGGTGAGATCTACGCAGGGGCCATGGCTGCACAGGAGCTACGCTGGCTCACCTACCCGCTGACTGACCTAGGAGAGCCGCCTCGTTCTCCTCCAGTTCTATACGTAGACAACAAGGCCATGCTGGCCTTGTGTCGAGAGCACAGACTTGAGCACAGAACGAAGCACATTGCTCTCCGCTACTTCCTGTCTCGTGAGCCGCAGCAGCGTGGTCAGCTCCGCCTCACCTACGTGGCCTCTGAGGCCAACACTGCTGATATCTTCACCAAGGCCCTTCCGCTTTGTGATCATCAACGCTTCTGTACTGTGCTTGGTCTTGTGCCTACCTGGCCTCACTTGCTCACTTCTTGATCTTGTTTGTACTGTATTCTTTCTATACCTGCTCTTTGCTTGTTTTACCTTTCTATGTATGGCCTTGCATGTGACTTGGCCTTGTGGCCTTGCTCTTGTGCTCGGACTGTGTGGTGACTTTGTGATCCACCCTGAGCTTGCTTTGCTTTGCTTTGCTTGAATGGTCTTGTGACCACTTGTTCTCCCCCACTTTGCATATGGGGGTGTGTCAGAACATTATAGCTTGTACATTTGTGTAGGCTATAGTGGGGTATCCCATAAGGGGTACAACCCAATTAGGGTTAGTACTTGTACCCAACTGTTTCATAGTTCATTCATTCCATTCTCACTTCTCGTCAGTTCTTTGTCTAGCCTGCAGTGGGGTACTCAATAGTGAGTACAACCCTTTAGAGTTTCCTATTTGTACCAACCCGCGTGCTAGTGCAATCATTCCATATTCTGTTGCTATCATTCTCGATCCTGCTTGGCACAACCTTCTAGTCTCACTGTGGCCTAGGCTACTAAGTCTAGGCCCTACTCCTAGTGTTTCTGATAGAGGTTTGGGGGTAGAATTACTGGTACTCCTTTATTGGAGGTACCATTATTGGTGTGGATGGGTGGAGTGAGGGCAGGGTAACTGCATAGATAAATGCTTTACTGTGTAAGGCCATAATATATTCTATTGTTCTAAATCCATTCAGTTGCAAGGTTCTCTTGCTATTCTATTCTACAACCAAGACTTCCGCTACGCCGACACTATGCCTTTCTAGCGAAAAACAGGCTGAAAATGCAGCCAAGGTTTAGAAAAAACACTGAAAAATCAGCCAAGGTACATAGCAAAAATCTTTGGATTCGACTTAACCCCTAAAAGAATGCTCGATCTAACGGTGAATCAGCGTAAAAAGGCTGATATCTATTGGGGACAAATAGTCTCAAGCGCCTTTGTCGTGTCGAAACCTCAAGACACAAGCGAAGCAGCGCAAATCGAAGCACTAGCGAGTCAACCCTCGGAGGTTGATGTAACCGCTGGAGGTTACGAGAAAGTCAAAGGTCAACGACCTTTGACCTGAGAAATGCAGCGCGACACTAAGTACACACAACTGACCCGACATTGAGCAGTTGCCCGAGTCGCACTGTATCGAACCGCAAAAGTAAAGTAGTTACGATTATGTCTCTTCATATTCTCTGTATTCATATATAATCTTAAATCTCTTTGCTTTAATCAACTTACTTTGCCCTTACATACTAGCGCAAGGTGGTTCAAGGACTTTATTCAAACGCTTCCACTACTACATCATTTACTCAGACTTGAACTCTATGAAAAGATCCTAGGGCGTCTCAGCCCAACAATATCTAGGGCAATGGTTGGAAGTGGACAAGTGCATTTGCAGCATTGTGGCCATCTCGGAGGGCTGGATCCAACGCGCCCTAGTGTCTCTCGTTTGGACTAGGGCCTGCCCTGCTCCTCACACACGGTTACGACTGTTGTTGGTGTTGCGCGCTTGCTCTTCAGTGTACTTAACCAATTATCATAAAAAATAGTTTCCCTTATGTTTTCTGGGAAGCAATGTACAGTTGAATTTTGTAACTTTCACTTGTTCATTTGAGCAACATGTGTGTCGTTTGTTCAACCCCTGTGGTGGTGACCTGTCACTGCCTCCTCGATCCTTCCAGTCCACACGATGCGAGATGCATGTCACAGCAAAAACTGTTCCGCGTCGCGGTGGGACACATCGAGCATCCCTGAATTTCACCCCCAAAATACGTGTAGGCGCAGACAGACATTTGTGGCTCTCATTCGCGCTTCGATCCGCGCCTCAAACTCTGTCCAGAGAGAGAGCGCAGCCCCCAGCCAGATACAAGGCTGACAATTTCGTTCGTCCCACTCCAGCTCTCCCTCCCTCACAATCGACTCATGATGGTTCTTATATCCACATCTTGGAGATGCTTAGGTTATTCTTGGCTCTTGTCTGACATGAGGTCAGACACGAAGTGAAGTTGAGGAAGATTCGAAGTGAGCTGGAACTCTAGCAAGCCAATGTTCGGAAGACCCGAAGTGGGCCACTTCGGGTCTTCCGAACCTCCATCCAAACCTTACATCGTGTCTGACACGAGCTAGGAATGCGCCCTTAGGCTTCTGCAGCTATCTTTAGGTAGTACTGTCATGGGAGTCTGCAAATGAATGGATTTTTTTTTAATAAACCAGTCAGGATGTTTTGTACGAATACAATCAGTTATATAGATTAAAGGCCCTCATTTTTTTTTTTCTGAAAAAGAAAGGAGATGGAGAAGAAAGGGAGAAGGAAAATGAAACTCCCAAAAAGAACCCAAATGCAACACACATAAAACTCCCCCTCAAGATACCTAATCAAAACGCCCAGTCAAGACACCGCATCAAGACATCCCATCCCACGCCCCATTCCCCCCCTCCCTCCCCCCCCCCCCCCCCCCCCCCCCCAATCACATCAACCTATCGACCATGTACGGGGCCTCCACCCAGAAAGGCCCTCATTATGCTAAGCACCATCTCTCTATTGAGCTAGATTGTAGATGTGAAACTGAATGGGCAGCCTATTCCACATTACTTATAGACGATCACTTCCCCGTTTCCTCCCCTCAACCCCCACAGCTCATTCAACCTAGATTCTGTGGTGTTGTGTCATTCCTGTGGTGGATTGGATGGCCTATCCGAATCGAAGCCCTTCTGAGCTGTATAGTACAAGTGACCGTCGTGTCAGGGGAAGCACTGGATCCGTACTTGGAGCCTCGCAGTGCCGCATGCCCCATACAGTGCGCTGCTGCTTGTGCTTGTCGGTTCGACTTCCCAGCTTGCATTTTCACTCCCATGCACTGCTCGCCCTCGCTCCAGCTCAGTGCACCTGCGGCCAGTTGGAGGCTTGCTCGTCGTGCAACAGCCTTGCTGCCTGCCGACCATGCCTTCATCTGTAGAATGACGCACCGCGCTCACAAGCCGCAGCGATAGACCGCCGTCAGCAGCTGTCGTTCTTTCGCGCAGCGCGCTATTGACAGGCAGGCCAGTGGCGATCGCACCTCGTGGTCGCGGGGCCGCGATCACCGCGCACCCACCTGTTGAAAGCCGCGCAGAATGACTCATTTGCGGAGACAGCGCTCGCTTCCGTCATTCGCGGGGCCGCGCATTGCCTTGCTCATAGTAGCCGTAGCGCACGTCGTCGCAGCGGGTCCACTTGCGACGCTCCGTCGCGTGGAAATCGTCTCAGGCGATACAGCCGCTGTGGCTGTAGCCAGCCATCGCCGGAGTGCGCTAAACACAGCAGTCGTCACGTTGTCGCCGCCGCCACCCGTAGCGCCTTCGACTTCTGGGAAACCCTTGGCGCCGCCGGCCGCACCGCAACCTCCCGGCTCCAGCGGGAACGCTTCGGCAAGCGAGTACGGCCCGGAGTTCCCGCCGACGTACGACCAACGTGAGTTCGACGCTTCCTTCTCCGTTATGATCTTGCCGCTATTGCGTGTCGCACCCACAGTGTGTCAACTGCGACGCACACATCCTGATCCCGTTACAGTTTCGCTCAGCTGAAACCAGTCCGTCGGATGGAGAGCCACAATCAATCTCCAACCGCCCGAATCGGCAAACAGTAAAAAACCAGCGGAATCTTACGAAAGTTGCTCTTGTCTGTGCGCGTGCCTGTGCGCGTGCGCGAGTGCGTGCGCGGGGGAGTGGCAGGGCTGGCGTTGGCGGAGCTGCGGGTGGCGATGGACCCGGAGGGCTTGGAGCTGGAGTCGTGGGACTCGGACGTCGGCTGGCCCTTCTGGATGGGCGTCCAATGTGACCAGTGGAACCAAGTCATCAAACTGTACGTGAGCCAAGTCGTCAAACTGTACGACAGCCAAGTCGTCAAACTGTACGTCAGCCAAGTCGTCAAACTGTACGTCAGCCAAGTCGTCAAACTGTACGTCAGCCAAGTCGTCAAACTGTACGTCAGCCAAGTCGTCAAACTGTACGTCAGCCAAGTCGTCAAACTGTACGTGAGCCAAGTCGTCAAACTGTACGTGAGCCAAGTCGTCAAACTGTACGTCAGCCAAGTCGTCAAACTGTACGTCAGCCAAGTCGTCAAACTGTACGTCAGCCAAGTCGTCAAACTGTACGTGAGCCAAGTCGTCAAACTGTACGTGAGCCAAGTCGTCAAACTGTACGTCAGCCAAGTCGTCAAACTGTACGTGAGCCAAATCGTCAAACTGTACGTCAGCCAAGTCGTCAAACTGTACGTCAGCCAAGTCGTCAAACTGTACGTCAGCCAAGTCGTCAAACTGTACGTCAGCCAAGTCGTCAAACTGTACGTCAGCCAAGTCGTCAAACTGTACGTCAGCCAAGTCGTCAAACTGTACGTCAGCCAAGTCGAGCACTTTCGGCATCGTTCTTGAGTTCTCGGATGGCCGTGCAGTGCCACCACCCGAGCGAGTTGTCCAACTGTACGAACAAATCGTCCAACTGTACGAACGAATCGTCCAACTGTACGAACGAATCGTCCAACTGTACGAACGAATCGTCCAACTGTACGAACGAATTGTCCAACTGTACGAACGAATCGTCCAACTGTACGAACGAATCGTCCAACTGTACGAACGAATTGTCCAACTGTACGAACGAAAATCGTCCAACTGTACAAACGGATTGTCCAACTGTACGAACAAATCGTCCAACTGTACGAACGAATCGTCCAACTGTACGAACGAATCGTCCAACTGTACGAAGGAATTGTCCAACTGTACGAACGAATCGTCCAACTGTACGAATGAATCGTCCAACTGTACGAACGAATCGTCCAACTGTACGAACGAATTGTCCAACTGTACGAACGAATCGTTCATCCCAATATCCCCTGCCCGCGCCCATCCCATTCCCCCGCCCGTGCCAATCCCCATTCCCTTTCCCCCCACCCGCCCATCCCTATCCACCCTCTCCCCCCGTGCTCCTACACAGGTCGCTGAGCGGCAACGAGCTGACGGGCAGCATCCCCGAAGGCATCTCGCACCTCACCGCGCTGCAGCACCTGTCAGTCTCGGCTGTAGCACAGCTGCGGGTCACGGCTAGACGGCTGTGCTATAGTCGTCTCTCTTGAGGCATGGGGCTGTGGCTTGCGGCATAAGTATAGGAGCATGGAGCATGGGGCATGGGGCATGGGGCATGGGGCATGGGGCACCGGGCATGGGGCATGGGGCATGGGAAAGAGACGTTTTGGTTGCCGTGTAGGACGCTCCCCTCTCAACCTCCATGTCACCCGTCCCCTCCTCTCCCCTGCCCCTTGTGTTTCCCATCGGCCCTATCATGAATGGGTCGCGCATGATGGGCCACGCCACGCCATGCCACGGTCACGGGCACGGGCAAGCGCAGGGACGTGAGGGGCAATGTGCTGCAGGGGTCGCTGGTGGGGGACATCGGCCACCTCTCCGCCCTCACCTACCTGTTAGTGCCGCATTGCGCCCTGCGCCCTGCGCCCTGCGCCCTGCGCCCTGTGCCCTGCGCCCTGCGCCCTGTGCCCTGCAGTCTGCTCACACATGTTGGCTGCACTGCACTGCACTGCACTGCACTGCACTGCACTGCACTGCACTGCACTGCACTGCACTGCACGCACATCCCTGCCGATCCACCTGCCTCCCCCCACCACATCCGAGTGCCCCCCATCACATCCGAGTGCCCCCCATCACATCCGAGTGCCCCCCATCACATCCGAGTGCCCCCCATCACATCCGAGTGCCCCCCATCACATCCGAGTGCCCCCCATCACATCCGAGTGCCCCCCATCACATCCGAGTGCCCCCCATCACATCCGAGTGCCCCCCATCACATCCGTGTGCCCCCCACGGCACCACCTCTCATTCTCCCTCCCCTTCATTTCCCGCTCCCGCTCTCGTCACTCCACCTCCTCGCCATTCTCACCCCCATCTCCCCTTCCCTTTCCCCAATGCTCCCCCATGCTCCCTTCCCCCTTGCTCCCACTCCTCATGCGGCCACCCCCCATGCGGCCACCCCCATGCGGCTACCCCCCATGCGGCCAACCCCATGCGGGCACCGCCCATGCGGCGACGGGGCATGCGGGCACGGGCCATGGGCACAGGGACCTGTCCAACAACCGCATCAACGGCTCGCTGCCTCACTCGCTCTCCAACCTCACCGCCCTGCGCCACCTGTGCGTGTCTCACTGCGGGCTCTCACTGCATCTCTGCATGCTCTCACTGCATCCCTGCATGCTCTCACTGCATCCCTGCATGCTCTCACTGCATCCCTGCATGCTCTCACTGCATCCCTGCATGCTCTCACTGCATCCCTGCATGCTCTCACTGCATCCCTTCATGCTCTCACTGCATCCGTGCATGCTCTCACTGCATCCCTGCATGCTCTCACTGCATCCCTGCATGCTCTCACTGCATCCCTGCATGCTCTCACTGCATCCCTGCATGCTCTCACTGCATCCCTGCATGCTCTCACTGCATCCCTTCATGCTCTCACTGCATCCCTGCATGCTCTCACTGCATCCCTGCATGCTCTCACTGCATCCCTTCATGCTCTCACTGCATCCCTGCATGCTCTCACTGCATCCCTGCATGCTCTCACTGCATCCTTGCATGCTCTCACTGCATCCCTGCATGCTCTCACTGCATCCCTGCATGCTCTCACTGCATCCCTGCATGCTCTCACTGCATCCCTGCATGCTCTCACTGCATCCCTGCATGCTCTCACTGCATCCCTGCATGCTCTCACTGCATCCCTGCATGCTCTCACTGCATCCCTGCATGCTCTCACTGCATCCCTGCATGCTCTCACTGCATCCCTTCATGCTCTCACTGCATCCCTGCATGCTCTCACTGCATCCCTTCATGCTCTCACTGCATCCGTGCATGCTCTCACTGCATCCCTGCATGCTCTCACTGCATCCCTGCATGCTCTCACTGCATCCCTGCATGCTCTCACTGCGTCCCTTCATGCTCTCACTGCATCCCTGCATGCTCTCACTGCATCCCTTCATGCTCTCACTGCATCCGTGCATGCTCTCACTGCATCCCTGCATGCTCTCACTGCATCCCTGCATGCTCTCACTGCATCCCTGCATGCTCTCACTGCATCCCTGCATGCTCTCACTGCATCCCTGCATGCTCTCACTGCATCCCTTCATGCTCTCACTGCATCCCTGCATGCTCTCACTGCATCCCTGCATGCTCTCACTGCATCCCTGCATGCTCTCACTGCATCCCTGCATGCTCTCACTGCATCCCTGCATGCTCTCACTGCATCCCTGCATGCTCTCACTGCATCCCTGCATGCTCTCACTGCATCCCTTCATGCTCTCACTGCATCCGTGCATGCTCTCACTGCATCCCTGCATGCTCCCCACTCGTCTCGTCCATGTCACATGCGTCCATGCCCCACGTTCCTCTACTGCCCCACGTGCCTCTACTGCCCCACGTGCCTCTATTGCCCCACGTGCCTCTACTGCCCCACGTGCCTCTACTGCCCCACGTGCCTCTACTGCCCCACGTGCCTCTACTGCCCCACGTGCCTCTACTGCCCCACGTGCCTCTCCTGCCCCACGTGCCTCTACTGCCCCACGTGCCTCTACTGCCCCACGTGCCTCTTCTGTCCCACGTGCCTCTACCGCCCCACGTGCCTCTACTGCCCCATTCCCATAGCACCATTCCCATAGCACCATTCCCATAGCACCATTCCCATGGCCCCATTCCCATAGCACCATTCCCATAGCACCATTCCCATAGCACCATTCCCATGGCACCATTCCCATAGCACCATTCCCATAGCACCATTCCCATAGCACCATTCCCATAGCACCATTCCCATAGCACCATTCCCATAGCACCATTCCCATAGCACCATTCCCATGGCACCATTCCCATAGCACCATTCCCATAGCACCATTCCCATAGCACCATTCCCATAGCACCATTCCTATAGCACCATTCCTATAGCACCATTCCCATAGCACCATTCCCATAGCACCATTCCCATAGCACCATTCCCATAGCACCATTCCCATAGCACCATTCCCATGGCACCATTCCCATAGCACCATTCCCATAGCACCATTCCCATAGCACCATTCCCATAGCACCATTCCCATAGCACCATTCCCATAGCACCATTCCCATAGCACCATTCCCATAGCACCATTCCCATAGCACCATTCCCATAGCACCATTCTCATGGCACCATTCCCATAGCACCATTCCCATAGCACCATTCCCATAGCACCATTCCCATAGCACCATTCCCATAGCACCATTCCCATGGCACCATTCCCATAGCACCATTCCCATAGCACCATTCCCATAGCACCATTCCCATGGCACCATTCCCATAGCACCATTCCCATAGCACCATTCCCATAGCACCATTCCCATAGCACCATTCCCATAGCACCATTCCCATAGCACCATTCCCATAGCACCATTCCCATAGCACCATTCCCATAGCACCATTCCCATAGCACCATTCCCATAGCACCATTCCCACAGCACCATTCCCATAGCACCATTCCCATAGCACCATTCCCATAGCACCATTTCCATAGCACCATTCCCATAGCACCATTCCCATAGCACCATTCTCATAGCACCATTCCCTTAGCACCATTCCCATAGCACCATTCCCATAGCACCATTCCCATAGCACCATTCCCATTGCACCATCAACCAAGCGCGCCCACGCCATCTCCCAACCCAGTTCCACCTTCCCTCGCCCCCTCTGCCCATCTCCCCTTGTCCCCTCGCCGACCCTATCTGCTTCTCCCCGTGCCCTCCTCCCAACCCTAAGTCCCCTCTCCCCCTCCCCCCATCCCCCTTCCACCATCACCCTTCCCCCGGCAGCGACCTGCATCATAATCCCATCAGCGGCGCGCTGCCCTCCTCCATTGCCGCCCTCTCGCTGCTCACTCGACTGTGAGTCGCGCTAGACTCACCAGGTTACTCACTGAGAAGCTTACCGGTATCACCGCACCACCAACTCTTGCCACACCACCAACTCTTGCCACACCACCAACCCATGCCACACCACCAACTCTTGCCACACCACCAACCCATGCCACACCACCAACTTATGCCACACCACCAACCCATGCCACACCACCAACTTATGCCACACCACCAACCCATGCCACACCACCAACTTATGCCACACCACCAACCCATGCCATACCACCAACCCATGCCACACCACCAACCCATGCCACACCACCAACCCATGCCACACCACCTACTTATGCCACACCACCAACCCATGCCACACCACCAACCCATGCCATACCACCAACCCATGCCACACCACCAACCCATGCCATACCACCAACCCATGCCTCACCACCAATAATGGCCCTCTCCTCTCCTCTCGCCCCCGACATGTTGTCCGCGCCCGTTGGTCCTCCTCCGTGTGCTCCCTGAGCAGCGATCTGCACGATGTTGACTTCACGCCCGCTCCGCTGCCGCCCTCTCTTGGCGCCCTCTCCTCCCTCCACTACCTGTGAGACCTTCTCCCTCCTCCTCCCTTGGTCCTCCTCTTGCCCCCTCCTCGTTCTCCCATGGCCCCCTGTCACTTTCAACGCATGCACGGCAACGCATGCACGGCCAGGCATGAGGTTAGAAAACCATCCCATCCCATCCCATCCCAACCCATCCCAACCCATCCCATCCCGTCCCATCCCATCCCATCCCATCCCATCCCATCCCATCCCATCCCATCCCATCCCATCCCATCCCATCCCATCCCATCCCATCCCATCCCATCCCATCCCATCCCATCCCATCCCACCATCCCATCCAATGCCATCCCATCCCATGCCATGCCACGCCAAGCCATGCTATCCCTCGTGGCGCCGAATGCTGCTCGCTGTATGTCACCCCCATGCGCTCTTCCACTTGCCCCCCTCTCTCACCCATCGGCCTCTTCCTCCCCCCCTCCTCCACGCGGGGCAAAGCAGCGATCTGGCATACACGCACCTCACCGGCCCGCTGCCCGCCTCCATCGCCAACCTCTCCGCCCTCAACTTCCTGTACGCCCCGCCCCGCCCCGCCCCGCACCGCCCCCTCTTGCCCGCATGTGCCCTGCCACGCCATGCTGTGCCCTGCCACGCCATGCTGTGCCCTGCCACGCCATGCTGTGCCCTGCCACGCCATGCTGTGCCCTGCCACGCCATGCTGTGCCCTGCCACGCCATGCTGTGCCCTGCCACGCCATGCTGTGCCCTGCCACGCCATGCTGTGCCTTTTTGACCTCCTCTCACACCACCAACGCACCACCATGCTCTCCCCTGCAGAATTCCCTCCTCTCTTTTCTCTCTTCATGCCCACCCCTCACCACCGTGCTGTACCGTACCATGCCATGCCATTCGATGCCTTGTACGCCACACCACTCTGCACCTCACCGCACCTCGCCCCGCACAGCTCGGTGGACGGCAACGCCCTCACGGGCTCCATCGACGTCTTCCCTCCCAACTCCTCCCTGCAAGCCATGTGAGTCCAAGCCATGTGAGTCCAAGCCATGTGAGTCCAAGCCATGTGAGTCCAAGCCATGTGAGTCCAAGCCATCTGAGTCCAACGCATGTGAGTCCAAGCCATGTGAGTCCAACGCATGTGAGTCCAAGCCATCTGAGTCCAACGCATGTGAGTCCAAGCCATCTGAGTCCAACGCATGTGAGTCCAAGCCATCTGAGTCCAACGCATGTGAGTCCAAGCCATCTGAGTCCAACGCATGTGAGTCCAAGCCATCTGAGTCCAACGCATGTGAACCTATCGCAGTTGACCATGTAACTGGCAATGCTGCCGCTTCCCTCACCTCTGCTTGCTCGTTCCTTCCTAATATCCCTCTCTTCCCCTCTCCTCCCCTTCCTCCGACCCCTCTCCTGTTGCCCTCCCCCTCTTCCCTTTCTCTCACCCGCCCCTCGACTACCCACATCTTGCTGTGCATCCGCGGTCATGCCCGGGCATGTGCCAGTCTAGCGGGGCACAACCAGCTGGAGGGGGCGGTGCCGGACGTGGCGCTGCATCCGCGCCTGCGCCTGCTGTCACTGCACGACAACAACCTCACGGGCCCCGTGCCCGCCGCCGACCTCAACTCCTCCACCACCACCGTCGTGTCAGTCCCCTCCCCTCTCAACCCAACCCGCCCCATCCTCCTCACTTCCCTCTCAACCCAACCCGCCCCATCCTCCTCACTTCCCTCTCATCCCAACCCGCCCCATCCTCCTCACTTCCCTCTCATCCCAACCCGCCCCATCCTCCTCACTTCCCTCTCATCCCAACCCAACCCGCCGTCTCTTTCTAATTCACCAGTCAGCGGCCTGGCCGCACATTCATTCTCGTGGCCTCCACTGTGTTGTGTTCTGGTGGAACGCCAAACGTGGCACAACCTCCTCTCCCCGCACCTTGCACCTCCGCTTACCCCTTTTCCCCTTCCTCCCCCTCCGTTCGCCTCATTGCCCTCGGCGTGTCAGCCTGGCGGGCAACCCGCTATGCACGTCATCACGCTACTACAGCACGTGCAATGTGTGGCAGCAGCGCCGCCTCTGCACGCTGCCGTGCAGCAGCAGCGGCGAGAGCCCGAGCCCGGTGGAGTACGTGCGGTCGCAGGAGTGCGTGTGCGCGCTGCCCGTGGTGGTGCGGCTGTTCCTGCAGAACCCCTCCTACACGCTTTTCAACTCGGAATACGCCGACCGCTTTCAGCGCGATGTCGAAGCACAGCTCAATCTGCAGGAAGGGCAGGTGGGTGGTGACGGCTGGGGAGAAGGTAGGGTGAGCGTGGGTTGGGGGAGGCAGTGAGGATGAGGGGGGTGGGGACAGGTGGGAGCGGCTGGTCCTACAGAACCCCTCGTACGCTCTTCACCGCTCTTCACCGCCGACCACGCCGACCTCTTCCAGGCGGACGAGCAGGCGCAGGTGCAGGTGCACGAGGGGCTGGTGCGTGACAGCTGGGGGACGGCACCTTGGCGTGGGTGCAGGTGGGGCCGAGGTGGGTTCAGGTGGGGGCAGGTCGGTGGAGTGGGGTGAAGGATGGGAGCATGTGGGTGGGGGTTGAGAGTAGGTAGGTGGGTAGAGGGCAACTGGTACGGGAGGGAAGGAGGGCGTGTGTTGTGTTGGTCCACTTGCAAGCGGGCATTCGTGGTGCCCGACGCCCGTGTGTACTCCATGTGCCACACAACACAACACAACACAACACAACACAACACAACACAACACAACACAACACAACACAACACAACACAACACAACACAAGGCTCACTCTGCCCCTCCCATCTCCTTCACATGCCGCCCACTCACGCATGCCGCCCACTCACTCATGCCGCCCACCCACGCATGCCGCCCACTCACTCATGCCACCCACTCAATCATGCCGCCCACGCATGTGTATGGGCAGGCGTGGTTGGACAGTGTGAGTCAGCGCGAGGACAACCTGGAGGTCGCCACACTGCGCATCTACCCTGCCAAGGTGATCTGCCCTGCCAAGGTGATCTGCCCTGCCAAGGTAATCTGCCCTGCCAAGGTGATCTGCCCCCCACCCTCTCTGCCCCCCACCCTCTCTGCTCGCCAGCTTCCACCCTCCACACGCCATCCTTGCCCCTCCACACGCCACCCTTGCCACTCCACTCTACCCTGTATCGCGCCTCGCCTCTCCTCTCCAAGTCCTTTCCAATCATCACATCCCTTCCCACTTTTTGCATCCGCTCCCAATCATCACATCCCTTCCCACTTTTTGCATCCGCTCCCAATCATCGCATCCCTTCCCACTTTTTGCATCCGCTCCCAATCATCGCATCCCTCTTAAGCTACTCTCCTTGTCCCTCCTCTCCTCTCGTCCCCCTTCCCTCTCTCCCTTCCGCTCCCACCTCCCCTCCCCCCCTTGGCTAGGTGGAGGTGCCATGGACGGAGGAGCAGAGGGGGCAGCTGTATGCGGCGTTGGGGCGCCTCATGCGCCTAAGTGCCATCTTTGGAGGCGTCACGTTCGGTGAGGGCCCGCCTTGCTCAAGTAACAGGGCCGCGTTTGCCGCACCACCCACTGTCATGTCCTCTCATCAGTGCCCCACCTCGCCCCACCTCGCCCCACCTCGCCCCTGCTGGCCCGTGGTGGGCCGTGGGATGAGAGGTGCTGTACAGTTGTCCCACTCTGCTTGCCCTCTGGATTGGTGCTCTCTTTTCTTTCAGGGCAACCAAAAATGTTTCTGGCAGACCATGGACGTAAAGTCGTTCTAGGCCCACAAAAGTAGACATATGTTAACCACGTAAAGTCATGTAAACGTAAACCTTTATAAACGGAACTGCCAACTTAGCACACACGGTCACTCGTTCCTGCCACTGCCTCTGTTGTCACCCTTGCCCTTCCCTTTTCTTCCCTTCCCTTCCCTTCTCTTCCCTTCCCTTCCCTTCTCTTCCCTTCCCTTCCCTTCTCTTCCCTTCCCTTCCCTTCTCTTCCCTTCCCTTCCCTTCTCTTCCCTTCTCTTCTCTTCCCTTCTCTTCTCTTCCCTTCCCTTCCCTTTCCTTCCCTTCCCTTCCCTTTCCTATCTGTCTCACGGTGCCGCCATCCCGCCCTCCCCACAGATGGCCCGCCACCCCCACCAGTGCCCAGCCCGCCACCGCCCCCGCCCACGCTCGCAGTCACCACTGAAAGCAGTACGCCCCCCCTCGCTGCCTCCCCTGCCACTGCCTCTCCTCATGCCTTGTGCTTCCTTCCCACTCTTCCCTCATCCCAATATTCACCCCTTGCATTCTTTACTCATCCAATTCTGCAATCTTCTCTCCCTCCTCCATCTCTTCCCCGTCCGCCCTCCTCCCTGTGCGCGCCTGGGTCAACGTGCCCCGTGCGTGCCGGTGCGTGCGTGCAGAGAGCACGTTCCCGGTGTGGGCCATAGTGGTCACGGCCGTGGGGCTGCTGTGCTTCGCCGCCTCGCTGCTGCTGCTGCTGCTCTGGCTGCGCCACCAACGCAGACGCCAGATGCTCCGTGAGTGCTGGCCGCATTCTCAGTGAGTGCCGCCCGCATGCTCAGTGAGTGCCGCCCGCATGCTCAGTGAGTGCCGCCCGCATGCTCAGTGAGTGCCGCCCGCATGCTCAGTGAGTGCCGCTCGCATGCTCAGTGAGTGCCGCCCGCATGCTCAGTGAGTGCCGCTCGCATCCTCAGTGAGTGCCGCCCGCATGCTGACAGTTGGAAGGACCAGATGGGCCAGCATGAGAGGCGTGGGGCCAAGGGGCAGAAGTGTGAGAGGCAGGGGCGAGGAGAGGATAGGAGGAGTGGCTTGGAGGAGCAGCACGTGAGCAGCGTGCGGTGAGCCACAGGGACGACCTTGGAGTCCGTCTCTTCTCACCTGCTCTGCACGAGCGCCTGCCACACCTTGCCCTCTTCCCTGCTCTGCTTCCATCAGCAATGCAAAGAGTGCGCATGTGAATACCCCCAACGTCACCTGCCCTCCCCCCCCAGGGCCCAGCAAGTCGAAGCTGACAATGCGCCTGCAGGAGCAGTTTGTGCGCCCCATCGCGCTGGCGGAGATCGAGGCGGCCACGGACGGCTTCTCGGAGGCGCGGCTGCTGGGCGTGGGCGGGTACGGGTCCGTGTACCGCGGGGACGGGCCCAACGGCGAGCAGTGGGCCGTCAAGCGTGCCACAGTCACCACCGTGCAGTCCATGGGCGTCTTTCAGAACGAGGTGAGTCCATGGGCGTCTTTCAGAACGAGGTGAGTCCATGGGCGTCTTTCAGAACGAGGTGAGTCCATGGGCGTCTTTCAGAACGAGGTGAGTCCATGGGCGTCTTTCAGAACGAGGTGAGTCCATGGGCGTCTTTCAGAACGAGGTGAGTCCATGGGCGTCTTTCAGAACGAGGTGAGTCCATGGGCGTCTTTCAGAACGAGGTGAGTCCATGGGCGTCTTTCAGAACGAGGTGAGTCCATGGGCGTCTTTCAGAACGAGGTGAGTCCATGGGCGTCTTTCAGAACGAGGTGAGTCCATGGGCGTCTTTCAGAACGAGGTGAGTCCATGGGCGTCTTTCAGAACGAGGTGAGTCCATGGACGTCTTTCAGAACGAGGTGAGTCCATGGGCGTCTTTCAGAACGAGGTGAGTCCATGGACGTCTTTCAGAACGAGGTGAGTCCATGGGCGTCTTTCAGAACGAGGTGCACGGGGGATGAGGGGATGAGGCGTGCAAAGGGATTGCAAGGTAGCGTTGATGGAACTGCCCCTCTCGCCCCCCGATCCGTCCTGTTTTCCATCCTCCTCCATTCCATTGCATGTGCACCCCTCCTAATCGGCGGCCTTGTGTCGTTTTCTTCCACTCGCCTGCTGCCTTTTGTCAACTTCCACCCGCCTCCCTTCCCCCGCCCTCCACCCCCCCTGTCCTTCTCCTCTATATCCTGCTCTCCCTCTCCCCTGCTCCGTTCTGCGCCCCATGTCCCACGAGCCACACATCACCACCGTGATGCCAGCGGTTAATGTCAGCTCGTGGAATAGGCCACACCTTGCTGGTCTTTGGTTATTCAGGTTACAACTTTCAGTTAGTTTAGTTTTAGGTTGGGTTGGGTGTAGACTTTTTTATCCCCAACCTATCCAACCCTATCCATCCAACCCTATCAATTCAGGATCTTCATGATTTGGATGGACTCCTCAAATTGCCTCCTGCTGTCACGTCATCCACCCAACCCAACCCGTCCTAGCGAGCGATAGTAAAGCCATGTACCTCTCTTTCGAATCAATGCGGCCACTTTGCCGTGCCCAGCATGCGCTGCCGCCCTGCCCGCCACGTGCACGTGATACCATCACAAGCCCCACGCACTCACTGCACTGCCTTACGAACCTCGAACCACCTGCGCCCTCCCTCCCCTCCCACGCCGCCCTCCACACACCCTGTCCACCAGGTGCGCCACCGCAGCCTGATGCCGCAGCGTTGACACGCGTCAACCACCCAATCCGACCGCCCCATCATTGCCCAATCCCGACCACCCCATCATTGCCCATCTCACCCCCCCCCCCCCCCCCCCATCATTGCCCATCTCACCCCCCCCCCCCCCCCCCATCATTATCCATCTCACCCCCCCCCCCATCATTCATTACCCATCTCACCCCCCCCCCCCCCCCATCATTACCCATCTCAACCCCTCCCCATCATTACCCATCTCACCCCCCCCCCCCCCCATCATTACCCATCCCCCCCCCCCCCCCCCCATCATTACCCATCTCACCCCCCCCCCCCCCCCCATCATTACCCATCTCACCCCCCCCCCCCCCCCCATCATTACCCATCTCACCCCCCCCCCCCCCCCCCCCATCATTACCCATCTCAACCCCTCCCCATCATTACCCATCTCAACCCCCCCCATCATTACCCATCCCCCCCCCCCCCCATCATTACCCATCTCACCCCCCCCCTATCATTGCCCATCTCACCCCCCCCCCCCATCATTACCCATCTCAACCCCCCCCCATCATTACCCATCTCACCCCCCCCCATCATTACCCATCCCCCCCCCCCCCCCCCCCCCCCCCCCCCCCCCCCCCCCATCATTACCCATCTCACCCCCCCCCCATCATTACCCATCTCACCCCCCCCCATCATTGCCCATCTCACCCCCCCCCCCCCCCCCCCATCATTGCCCATCTCACCCCCCCCCCATCATTGCCCATCTCACCCCCCCGGGCACCAGGTGGACGTGATATCGGCCATGAGCCACCGCAACCTGATAGCGCTGCTGGGGTACTGCGAGGACAAGGGCGAGCAGATCCTTGTCTACGAGTTCGCCGCTAACGGCACCCTCTCCGCCCACCTGCGCCCGCCCGCCGGTGAGCGCCAGTCGATGGGTGCGTGGGAGGCCGCTGCCACGCACATGTGTGTGTGGCTGCATGGCTGGGTGGGTGGGTCCATGGGTGGGTGCATGGGTGCATGGGTGGGTGGGTGGGTGCATGGGTGGGTGGGTCCATGGGTGGGTGGGTGGGTGCATTGGTGGGTGCATGGGTGCATGGGTGGGTGCATGGGTGGGTGGGTGGGTGCATGGGTGGGTGGGTGGGTGGGTGGGTGCATGGGTGGGTGGGTGGGTGCATGGGTGGGTGTGGGTGCATGGGTGGGTGTGGGTGCATGGGTGGGTGGGTGGGTGCATGGGTGGGTGGGTGCGTGGGTGGTTGGGTGGGTGCGTGTGGGTGACATTGAGCACGAGTGGCAGTGTGCGCAGACTGCCTCTGCACCAGTCGTGGCAGCTATCACTGTGCAGTGCTGTGGGGCTTTGTGCCGCTACTCTTTTCTCACCCAACATTGCTCCTCTCCTCTTTAACCACCCTTCACCCCCTTACGTGCCTCCCTTTACTTCCTCTGCTTCCTTTCCTTTCCTCCCCGTCCTTTCTGTATCGTCCCCACCCACCCCTCCCCCCACCCACCCCTGTGAGCAGACAAGCCGACGGCGCCGCTGACGCTGCAGCAGCGGGTGGAGGTGGCGCTGGGGGCGGCGCAGGGGCTGTTCTACCTGCACTCGTTCGCGCGCCCGCCCGTCATCCACCGCGACGTCAAGTCCGGCAACATCCTGCTCGACCAAGACATGCAGGTGGGTGTGGCCGGGGTACACTTGCAGGTGGGTGTGGCCGGGGTACACTTGCAGGTGGGTGTGGCCGGGGTACACTTGCAGGTGGGTGTGGCCGGGGTACACTTGCAGGTTGGAGACAGTATTGCGGGTGGGAGGAACATGTGCGAGGGGGAAGGGGAATGCGGGTGGGGATAAAAGTGGAGGGAGAGGGGGACATATGGGAGGGGATACGCAGGCGGGGGTGTGCATGTGTGCTCATGCTCCTCTGTCGCTGCCTTGAACGTCCGAGGTTGTTTCCCACAACACTGTCGCTGTGTGGCCCTTGTCCCCCTCCGCCCGTCCCCGCGACTGCCCCGCTGTGTGTTTCCCTCCTCTCCTCCTCTCCCTGCGCGTGTGTGCACAGGCGAAGGTGGCGGATTTTGGGCTGCTGAAGGCGTCCAAGGGCGAGGGTGTGGCGCACAGCACGCAGGTGGCGGGCACGCCGGGGTACCTGGACCCCGAGTACTACTCCGCCTTCAAGGTCACCGCCAAGAGCGACGTGTACAGGTGCCGGCCCGCTCTTCCATCTTCATGTCATGCCCGCTCTTCCATCTTCATGTCATGCCCGCTCTTCCATCTTCATGTCATGCCCGCTCTTCCATCTTCATGTCATGCCCGCTCTGCTCCCTGCCCCGCATGCTATGCCTTTTGCTCACGCACTCCCCTATGGACCCCCCACCCCCCCTCCGCTCACACGCAGCTTCGGCGTGGTGCTGCTGGAGATCCTGACGGGGCTGCCGCCCATCTTTGAAAGCCTCGACGCCAACGAGTCCACCGACGGCGAGCGCCAGATGACCAGCCTGGCCAGATGGGTGAGAGGCGCAATGGGTGAGAGGCGCAATGGGTGAGAGGCCTATTGGTGGTATGGGCACAAGAAGGAGTCAGTCTTCCCCCCCCTGCTCTCAGCTCAGTCCCCCCCTCCCCCTGCTCTCACCTTGTCTCACTGCTCCTCCCTCCTCCATCAGCTACACTCAGTGTTTCTTTCCTCCCTCGCTTCTCACTCCCCAAGTATGCTCCACTACAGCCGCCTCACACCCCCCTTTCTCACTTTCCCTTCCCCCTGGCCACACCTCTCCTGCTTCGCCCCTCTCCGCAGTGTGCACCGTACGTGCAGACGGGCAATGTGGCCAAGATAGTGGACCCACGGCTGGGCGCGGACTACCCGGTGGACACCGTCAAGGCCATGGCGGAGGTGGCCATGGCGTGCGTGCAGCGCCACAGCAAGAACCGCCCCGACACGGGCGAGGTGGTGCGGCGCCTGGGGGACATCCTTGCGCGCCTCACAGGCGACGAGAGCGCCGCCACGCTGGGCCACCTGCGGTCGCAGAGCTCGAATGTGGGCGCCGTTGCCATTCCCGAGGACGGCGAGATTGATCCCAACATTGCGCTGGTGGGCAACATGGAGGGGCCGTACGATGAGAGCACTGCCGCCATGTCGCAGATTATCCCGCGCTGAGTGGTTGCCGTGTCCATGCGTGAACATGAAACCAGAGCAGCATGGGTACTAATGGACGTCTCGGTATGGGCACGTGTTTACAGCAGAAATAAAGTATAGGGTCCTTTTATAAGACACAATTTGTATAAAGATTTATTGAATGGATGCACTATCAGGCCCCGAATATAAGCGGGTGTGCTAATGACAACATCCTGAATAGGTGGGTGTTTGTGCTTATAACATGATGGCCGCCCATGTGCTGTGAAGAGCTGTCCTCTACGAGGACATTCCTCGTAGAGGAGCGGCTCGGGGTCCTCTGGAGGGAGAGCTCTGGCAGGGGGGGTAGTCCGGCTGGAACTTCATTTTGTGCTCATGGAGCTTGAGATTAGCTCAACCCTAGCTCGAGGTTGGCTCTACCATGCATAGGAAAATCCCTGTAAAAATGTTGTGCCCTCGTCCTAACGTCCAGGTTAACAACTATGGGCGCATTAGCTCGCCCGGTGACGACATATAGATAGCGATGGCGAAAATGACGCACAAGCCGACATCCTTGGCGGGATGCTGTAACGCCAGCTCAGGTGCGAGCAGTGACGAGGAGGAAGGCGACGAGGACCACGGCGACGAGGGCAACGAGGATTGGCCGGAGGACAGGCACAGTGACAGAGCATCAAAAGTTAACGTACATGCTGGCGGGATCGACGATGACGAGGGGCGGATGCGGCCAATCGGCTTGGGCGATGAAGTGGAAGAGTGGCGCGCCAGGTACTCTTATGACGACGGAGGTGCGGATGCGGCGGAATCTGCGGATGCTGATGCGCCTGGAACTGCGCATGCTGCAGATGAGGAAGCGGTGGCAACAGTGCAAGCCCCCGCGGCCACGAGTGAGGATGTGGATGCGGGAGCGACCGTGGATGCGGCAGCGAATGCGGATGCGGCAGTGGATGCGGATGCGATTGCGGTAGCGATGCGGATGCGGATGCTGCTGATGCTGGCGCAGATGCTGACTTCTTTGAAGGAGAAGATGAGGACGACGACTTCTATCGCCTCGATGACGACGATGTGCCTTTGTTGAAGAGGAAGTTGCGTCTTCATCTGCGCAGCACCACTAAACGCACAAGGGTGGTGCTCTCAGACGACGACATCCCTGTGGAGGAGCCTCAACACCGCCTTAGTGCTGCTGAGAAGGGGAAGATGAAGATTGTTGAAGGCCCATCCAATGAATACCGTCGCCGCCGCACGTGGAAGGAGAAGAAAAAGAACGATGGATCATCGGTTTCCACCAAGGGTGCGAAGAAGAAGAAGACCGCCCAGGGCATGGATTACATTGTCGTCAACGAGATGCACGTGAGCAACGATGAGTATGCCACGGCTGCAGGACCACTTCCCTCTTTCCCTGAGAACGCGAAGCCTAAAGACCTCACACTTCGTAACGCTGATTCCCGTCCTCCATCCCCACGCAGTCGAGGTGAGAAACAGACTAGGCGCTCTTGGAGCGTGCGTGAGAAGATGAGGTGGGCGCGACGCTACAAGGAACCCAGCTCCCTCAAGAAGACATTATTTGAATCCTCCGCCTCCGTTGCGTGCATTCGACGATGGGCTGCGCAGACGGATTCAGGTGCGTAGAAGGGTGCAACGAATTGCTACAAGCGTCTAAACGGCACGGGCCACCACTCACACCACCCCGACATGGAGGCGGCATTGTACCGGTACATCTGTCTATAGCGATCAAAGGGGGTGGCGATATCCGTGAAGGACACACAGAAGTGGAGCCGCAAATGGATGAAGAAACACAATCCCGACAAGAACTGGAATGCGTCATCTCGCTGGAGTCAACACTTCCGCGACCGCTGGAACTTAGTCATGCGTATGAAGACCAAGGATTGTGAGTTGTATATTGAATTCACGTTGGATCATGGACTGAAAATGCCTAGCATTGAAAATACCTCATGTTCAAACATCCCCTCTTCAAATGCGGTTCCTTTCCATGGCAGAATGAGCTAAGGACTGTGAGGCAGACTGGAACTTCATCAGGATCAACCGTGCCCAACATAACATCCACCTCACCCCATCATCAGCGCCGACCAAACACCTCTCTTTGTTATCGTCCCAGTAGGCTCCAGTGTGCCTAAAACGAAAGATAGAGTGCACAGTCGGATTTATGCACAGCCGCTTCAAACGTTCATAGCGATCTGCTCACAACTCCAAATGACTTCATTCAACTTGGATCTGGAGCGCCTTAACGTCGCCTACAATAGGCAATTTGAATCGCAAATTTTCATTAAGAAGTGACGACACAACGCTGGTTTGAACGAACGGCACTATGGGCAGCAACATATTCTTAGAACACAAGATAGGAAGAGTTAGGAAGAGTTACGAGTTGGGAATGACTCCCAGCTCCTACAAGCCCCAAGAGCCGAGTTACAGTGATGTGGAACAGTGCCACACTGTCCCCAACCTCGAAGGGTCTCGAAACTACCCTTCACTAGGGCCTACACCAAATGAAATGTTACACTACACAAAGTAATGTAACTATCTTCAATATCTTGAGGTGCACCCTTTTGGCGAGCTTTGAAATCACTTGAGGCTTGACATCAAGGCTCGGGCTCTTCATCACAAACTCATCATTGAGTTCTTGATAAGTCCTCTGCACACACCTGCGACACGCCGAACGTTCGACACAGGACAAAATAGAAACCGCGCACGACAAAATAAAAACCGCGCGCGAGACACAAACGACCGCGTAACACGCGTCTAGCGATAACTCGCTATTGACTCCACACACACACTCGACATCATGACTCAACATTCACACACAATTATAAGCATGAAATATATATTATCCCATGCCCTCATACCATTCCATACACACACACATGCACGCACACGGACAACAAGCCGAGTGCAAACCGTAGGGTTGCACCAACAAACTCCCCCTCGGATTGTTGGCCTTAGGATATGTTGCTCTCTCAGTTCAGAGCCATCCCATCCAGCTTGCAACACTTCCAATGCTTCTGCTCCACCAGCCTCTTAGTCATCATGTCAGCCGGCTGCCCTGTGGTCTTCACGTACCGCAACTCAACTTCACCCGCGGTCACCTTGCTCCTCGTCCAATGCCACTTCACCCTCATGTGCTTTGTGAGTCCATGCAACACACGGTTCTTAGCAAGAGCAATGGCACCCTGGCTGTCACACTAGAGTGGGGTAGGTCCTTGTTGCTCCTCCCCCAATTCAGCCAACAAACGCCGCTGCCACACAATCTCCCGTACGGCACGGAAGAGTGCCATGTACTCGGACTCAACCGAGCTCAAAGCTTGGTCAACCTGCTTCTTGCTCTCCCAAGCAGTTGGGCCTCCACCAACACAGCATATAAAGCCTCCCACACTTGTCATGTCCTCTGGTTCCGATGCATATGAAGCATTCGAGTAGGCGGTGAGGAACAAACGCCCGGGTTCAACACCATCCGCGCCCTTTTGGCGCCTTTGTGCCGCCGCCGAGTATTGCAGCCCAACGGTCGGTGTTTGGCCAAGATACTTGGCCACCCTCATTCCAGCTACTACCTGCTCCTCATTAGGGCATTGCACAACCCTAGCCAGCTGCCCGGTAGCAAACACGACGCCCGGTCGGGTGTTTACCGCCGCATACATGAGGCTGCCCACCAACGAGTGAAAACGGCGCCTCTCTTCTTCTTCAACGCTCTCCTCCTCTGGCCCCTTCACACACTTGAACCCAGAGGAAAAAGGAGTAGCCACATGACCTTCACTCTGGCCAAAATTGGCGGCCAACACCTCCAGGTACTTCCGTTGGTGCACTCGCATGCTCCGCTTCTCCACGTCTCGTTCGATGTAGAGTCCAAGGTAGAAATTCACGACACCAAGGGACTTGCACTTGAATTTTTCTTGCGGCTTCAGCATCACCTCCTTAACAAGGTCAAAAGAGTGTGAGAAGATGAGGATGTCATCCACGTACACCACCGTGAAGCTCCTCTGGTCCCCCTTGAGAAGAAGTGAACGAGAATGAAATGACTATGAACGAAGTGAGTACAAATAGGAAACCCTGATTGGGTTGTACCCCTTATGGGATACCCCACTATAGCCTACAGAAACAAGTAAGCTATATGTTCTGACACACCCCCATAGGCAAAGTGGGGGAGAACAAGGGGTCACAAGACCAGTCAAGCAAAGCAAAGCAAAGCTCAGGGTGGATCACAAAGTCACCACGCATTTCGAGCACAAGTTCAAAGGCCAGAAGGCCAGTTCACATGCAAGATCATATATAGAGATATACAAGAGGCAAACAAGCAAGAACAAGAGTATATATAGGCGAAGGTACAAGCAAGGTCAAGAGGAGAGCAAGTGAGGCAAGACAGGCACAAGACCCAACTGCGTGCAACAACGCTGATGATCACAAGGCGCAAGTGCCTTGGTGAAGACATCAGCAGTGTTGGCCTCAGAGGCCACGTACGCAAGTCGCAACTGTCCACGCTGCTGTAGCTCACGAGCAAGAAAGTAGCGGAGAGCAATGTGCTTCGTTCTGTGCTCCAGTCGCTGCTCTCGACACAAGGCCAGCATGGCCTTGTTGTCTACGTACAGGACTGGAGGAGAACGAGGCTGCTCTCCAAGGTCGGTCAGCAGGTAGGTGAGCCAACGTAACTCCTGCGCAGCCATAGCCCCAGCGTAGATCTCAGCCTCACAACTGGAGCCGAGAACAGAAGACGAGCGGGTAGCCCGCCACGAAACAGAGCCGGAACCAAGGCTGAAGGTGTAACCCTGTGACGACCGCTGCGTAGCTTGGTCGTCAGCCCAAGAAGCGTCAGCGTGCCCAGTGAGGACCACTGGACTGCGCCCTCCAAGCACAAGCCCCATGCCCGACGTGCTGCACAAGTAGCGCAACACCCTCTTCGCTGCAGCCATGTGCTCTGGTCGGTGTCTCTTAGGAGCAACATAGCGTGCGAGAATGCTAAGAGGGTATGCAAGGTCAGGTTGTGTGCAGGTCATCAGGTACATGAGGCAGCCAACAAGCTCTGGGTACGCGCCACTCGACTCTACGGACTCATCCGAAGGCAGAGCTGAGAGTGAGTGGCGAGTAGGCAGAGGAGTGGCCTGAGGCGAGGAGTACGTGAAGCCGAAGCGCTGAAGAACCTGGTGCACCATGTGTGACTGAGTCAGGGTAATGGTGCGGCGCGCTCTGTCCCGGGTGATCTGCAAGCCAAGGTAGCTACGCAGTTCACCCAGGTCAGTGCACGTGTGTCTCTTCTGCAGCTCGGACTTCACGTAGGCGAGTCCAGCAGTGTCAGCTGTGGCAAAGACCAAGTCGTCGACGTACACGAGGATGTAGAACGGCGGCAGAGAGGTGTCGGTGCGCAGAAACAGCGACGGGTCGGCAGTAGACGGAGCAAACCCAAGTGCCGCGAGCGTAGTCCTCAGTGTGTCGTGCCACTCACGTGGCGCCTGGCGGAGACCGTAGACTGGACGCCGGAGACTCCACTGGGTACCAGGAGGGAAAGACCCAGTGAAGCCAGGTGGGCGACGCAGCCAGATCTCCTCGTGCAGACTGCCCTGCAAGAAAGCTGTGCTGAAGTCGAGAGAGTGCAGCTCGTAGTCACGGTGAGCAGCAACGTGCAGCAGAACCCGAAGAGTAGTCATCTTCGGGGTGGGGGAGAAGGTCTGAAAGTAGTCAACCCCCTGCCGCTGACTGAAGCCACGAGCCACGTAACGCGCCTTGAAGACAGGCGGTGAACCCGGCGGCCGCTTCACCCTGAAAATCCACATGCCACTGACGATGTTCGCCCCAGGAGGGGGAACAGCGTCGACGTAGGTGCCTGTGGACTTCTAGGAAGCCATCTCTGCATCCATAGCTGCCTGCCACTGAGAGGAGTAGGGACCCTCTATCGCCTCCGCGTAAGAGCGCGGAGTCGGGATGTCTTGTGCATCCGGGTCTCCCTCAGGGGCTAGCAGTACAGACGCGAGATGAGGTGAAGCGGCAGCCAGACACTGGAACTCCTCCTGCCTGTCCTCAAGGACGTCCGTGCCGAGGGCACACTCACCCCCGACGGACGGAGGACAGGCAGACTCAGACTCAGCGACAAGACTGGCAGCGTAGTCCAGACGACAGCGTGCAGCAAAGTCGACAAGCTCAGTGACAAGGGCAGACGCAGCAGACGACTCGAAGGAAGGGTCAGTGACAGCAGTAGCAAGGAGACGCGTGACAGTAGGACTGGCAGCACGAAGAGAGTCCGACTCCGGGTCGGCAAGAGCAGGAAGCGAGGAAGCAGGAGGAGAAGGCAAAGGGGCACGCAGAGGAGCAGTGGACGGACGCAGTGACATCCGGTGCGTGCCAGGGACAGGAGGAGGACGCTGACGCGACCCGCGACCACTAGCGCGCTTAGTACGAACAGGCGACGCAGGACGAGACGCAGGCTCACGACGCTCAGTAAGACCTCCAGTCGGACCAGCGTAGGGAGAAGGAGCAGGCAAAGGGGAGGCAGGCTGTAGCTGTGGCTGTGATCGGACAGGCTGCGGACCCTCTAAGGGAGGAGGAGGTGTAAGACCAAGAACCTGCTGCAGGAGCGGAACGAAGTACGGTCGGGGCCGCGCGGCGACGCCAGAAACAGCAGGAACAGCACCAGTACCCCCAACAGGAGCACCCACTACAGTAGCACCTCCAGCAGCACCAGAACCTCCAGCAGCAGCACCGGGAGCACTGTCAGTCGGACCGCCAGCGGCAGGCACAGCGCCAACACCCTCAGCAGCACCAGCTCTAGGAGAACCCTCAGACCCAGCAGCTCCAGCACCCACAGTACGAGCACCGCCGGGACGCGCGGCAGCAGTACCCTCTGCAGCCGAAGAACCACCAGCACCAGCAGCACGCCTCCAGCGCCTGGCAAACCACTCACGCAGCTCCTGTGGGGAGAGTGGCTCCCGGCGAGACGAAGCACCCCCAAGCACAGCACCCCCAGGCTCAGCACCCCCAGGCTCAGCACCCCCAGGCTCAGCACCCCCAGGCTCAGCACCCCCAGGCTCAGCACCCCCAGGCTCAGCACCCCCAGGCTCAGCACCCCCAGGCTCGGCACCTCCAGGCTCAACACCCCCAGGCTCAGCACCCCCAGACTCCGCACCCCCAGGCTCAGCTCCCGCAGCAGCACCAGAGTCACCAGTGACCTCGACAGGCTCGACCGTGTCTACCTGGGACACACCTGAAGGGGCAGGACCCTGAGGGGGGAGGGGGTCTACCGGGGGGGGACCTGGTACCAAGAAGAGCGGGGGTGGGGGGAGGGACGGAGTGCGGTAGGGGAAGAGGCGGTAGTAGGGTACCGACTCGTCGAACGTGACGTCCTGGGAGGACAGAACACGTCGAGAGGTGGGGTGGTAGAACTGCCACCCAGGGGCGTCGGGGGGAAACCCCAGGAAGACGCAGGGAGCAGCGCGAGGGGACAGCTTGTCCGCAGACAAGTCGCGGACAAACGCCCGAGATCCCCAGACCCGGAACGCCGACGCATCGCCAACCTTCCCCGTCCACAGCAGGGCTGGGGAGGTCTCCGGCCTGGAGACCCTGGGGTGGAGGTTGATCTGATGCGCTGCGTACCTGACCGCAAACGGCCACAGAAAATGGGGGGCAGCCGCATGCATCATGGACGTACGGGCGACGTCCATGACCATGCCAATGCGGCGCTCAGCAATCCCATTTTGCTGCGGGGAGTCCGGAAGCGTGAAGGACTGGCGGATGCCTCGCGCACGACAGTAGGCACGCAGAAGGCCAGAGGAGAACTCTCCGCCTCTGTCCGAGTGCAGACGCAACACAGGAAAGTCGGAGCCAAAGCTCTGCCTGAGCTGAAGACGAGCTGCGCGGATCCAGTCGATCAGCACCTCAGTGACCTCACCCTTGCTGCGCAAGGGGAAGACTGTGGTGTAACGCGAGTAGTCGTCAACAACGAGCAGGAAGTAGCGCTCCTGACCCTGTCCACGGACGCGGGCTGGGCCCCACACGTCCATGTGAAGCGTCTGCAACGGGGCCTCTGTCGGAGGAAACTGGGAGGAGTGAGGGGCAGCACACTGGCGCCCCTCGACACAGGGGACACAGGCAGGGCCAGGGCCCTGAGGAAGGGGAGGTAGAGACCGGGGGAGACCAGACACAAGAAGACGGGAGGCCATGCCTCTGAGCCGAGGCAGAGAGGGGTGACCAAGGCGGTGGTGCCAGAGGAGGGTCTCGTGAGACAGACGACGACACGAACAGGGGGCAGACTCAGGACCAGACCTGGACGCTGCGGCAAACACCTGACCAGACGAAGGGACCCTACCAGACTCAGCACCTGGAGGAGAAGCAGTGGTCAGTGTGTACAGGCTCGACCCTGGCTGACGAGTAAACGTAGCCAGGTGGCGTCCCGTGCTAGCCTCCGTGCAGTGGGTCACGCGCTGACGAGCAGGAGTGAACTGGTGGACACCCGCATTCTGTAGGTCAGCACCACTCACCAGGTTCGTCGAGAACGAGGGGAGGTAGAGACCAGACAGGGTGCCAGAGGGGGCCGCCGGACACGGAAGGACCGTGGAGAAGCGAGACAGGACAGGCCCCCCAGAGGGGTCCGCCAGGGACACCGCAACCGGCCGACTAAGCGGCGTGAGAGTGGTGCGGTCCCGAAAGAAGGAGCGAGACGCTCCAGAGTCAAGGGTGAAGGTGTGAGAGGCCGAAGCCTACACAGTACCTGAGAGGGCAGACTCACCAGTACCTGAGAGCACAGACGCACTGGCACCTAGAGCAGCAGCCTCACTAGCACCTGACACAGAAGTACCAATGCCCGGGTCGGGCGGGAAACACCGGTAACAGTCATCCTCATCACTACCAGTCACAACATACATAGCAGAAAGAATAGCATCAAAGTCAAGATCATAAACGGCTACACCAGCCCTAGACAGCTCCCCCCAGCGGGGGATCCTTGCGGCCTCCGGAAACTGCTGACGCCAGGCGTCGGTCAGGCGGCCAAAGCAGCGGCGGGCTGTGTGGGTGCCTCCACACCTCTCCCCCGCACGGTCACCGGTGCGAAGAACGTAGGGGCAGGGACCAAACGCACCACCACGCTGACGCTGCAAGTACCACTCACGGAGCTGCTGAGGGGCGGGGACGGTGCGAGAGCGCTGCTGCTGCTGCTGCTGGCGCTGGCCACCCCCAGAGCTGCTCCGCTGGGACGAGCCACTCCGACCCCCGCCGCCACCGCCACCCCCGCCTCCACCGCCACCCCCGTCTCCATCGCCACTGCCCCCACCGGTACCCTCGCCCCCGCCTCCTCCGCCACCGCCTCCGCCGCCACCTCCGCCTCCACCGCCTCCACCAGTACCTCCACTCCCGCCACCACCTCCACCGCCACCCCCACTCCCTCCGCCACCCCCACCTTCTCCGCCACTGCCCCCTCTAGCTCCACCCGCTCCCTTGCCCCCCTTGCCCTTGCCAGAGCGGCGTCTACCGCTGGGGGCAGACGCCGCACCGACCGACTCAAAACCAGCGAGGTCGGCCGCAGCGGCAGAGGCGACAGAGGGCAGCAGGGGGGAAGGAGAACACCCCTCAAAGATGGGGGTGCGAGGGTCACCCCGAGAGGCCCCTACAGCGACGATGCTCTTCTCAGCCGCTAGCAGGGACTCCTCAAGGAGGTCGACAGTGAGGGTGGTGGGACAGACAGAGAGAAACTGGTCCCTAACGACACGAAGGGACTCAGGGAGACGGGTGACGAGAAAGTAGAGAGTGATGTACATGGGAGGAGGGTTTGCGGCGCGGAACTCAGCAGGAAGGGCAGCGCGGTAGCGAGCGTCACTAGCGCGGAGGTGGGTAACGAGGTCAGCGACAGTGGGAAAGGCAGCGAGGTCAGGGAAGAGAAACGGTAGCATGAGGCGGCTCAGCGTAGCGGAGGAAGGGGAGGAGTAGCGTGCAACTACAGCGTCGTACAAGGCCTGAGCGGTCTTGCACTGACTAAAGTGGGCACGCTCGGAGGAAGGGAGGTGGCGACGCACAGCAAGACGTGCAGCAGCATCGCGTGTGGCCCACTTGGAGCGAACTGCAGGGTCAGCATCAGCAGGAGGGGTAGGGACAGCTCCAGAGACAAAGTCAAAGAGAGAAACCTCATCGATCGCATCGCACAGTAAGTACAGCTGCAGGTCCTCAATCCAGACTGGAAAGTCAATGGCGCGACCCTCAGCGTCAAACGACAGGACACTGGGGGTGGCCATTGCAGCAGCTGATTGTCTCACCGGGCACGAAGAGTCGGGTAGCACAGCGGCGCAGCAACTCGGCAGAACAGCAGCTGCGCACGCCTCGGAGCAGCAGCAGCCCCGCAGGAGCAGGAGCTCGGCTCCTCAGGTTGCCCGGGCGGCTCGGGCGGCTCGGGTTGCTGGGGCGGCGCGGGCGGCTCGGGCGGCTCGGGCGGCACGGGCGGCTCGGGCGGCTCGGGTTGCTGGGGCGGCGCGGGCGGCTCGGGCGGCTCGGGCGGCTCGGGCTGGTCTGCTGCACGGGCGGTTGGGGCGGCTCGGCTGTACGGGCGGCTCGTGCGGCGCGGGCGTCGCGACGGGCGGCTCGCTGGCGGCTCGCTGGCGGCTGCACAGGCGGCTCAGAAACGGCGGCGCGGGCGGCTCAGGGACGGCGGCCTGGGCGGTCGTGGGCGGCTCACGCTGGGCGGGTGCACGGGCGGCTCGGCGGGCGGCGTTCGGGCAGCTCACGGGCGGCTGCGACGGGCGGCTCGCGGGCGTCGGGCGCTAGGGCGCTGGGGCGACGACGGGCGGCGCTCAGGCGTCAGGGCGAGCGGCCGTCAGAGCGCTAGGGCGGGCGGCGCTTAGGCGTCAGGGCGGGCGGCCGTCAGGGCGCTAGGGCGAGCGGGGCTCAGGCGTCAGGGCGCAAGGGCGGGCGGCGCTCGGGCGCTAGGGCGAGCGGCGCACGGGCGCTAGGGCGGGCGGTCGTCAGGGCGCTAGGGCGGGCTGCGCTCGGGCGCTTGGGCGGGCGGCGCTCGGGTGCTAGGGCGGGCGGCCGATACGGCGCTAGGGCGGGCGGCCGTCAGGGCGCTAGGGCGAGCGGCGCACGGGCGCTAGGGCGGGCGGCCGTCAGGGCGCTAGGGTGGGCGGCGCTCGGGCGCTAGGGCGGGCGGCGCTCGGGCGCTAGGGCGGGCGGCCGTCAGGGCGCTAGGGCGGGCGGCCGTCAGGGCGCTAGGGCGGGCGGCGTTCGGGCGCTAGAGCGGGCGGCCGTCAGGGCACTAGGGCGGGAGGCTGTCAGGGCGCAAGGGCGGCGGCGCTCGGGCGCTAGGGCGGGCGGCCGTCAGAGCACTAGGGCAGATCGAAAAAAAAAGAAGTACTAGGGCCCGGAGCGCGCTCCGGGCAGAAAAAAGTTAAGAGGTAGTGGTGGTGGGCCCTACGAACCGTTCCCACAGGGGAACCTGCTCGATACCATGAGAAGAAGTGAACGAGAATGAAATGACTATGAACGAAGTGAGTACAAATAGGAAACCCTGATTGGGTTGTACCCCTTATGGGATACCCCACCATAGCCTACAGACTCAAGTAAGCTATATGTTCTGACACCCCTCGCCAAGCATGAACAAGGAGTGATCGGCCGTTGAGGGAGTGAAACCGATCCCCTCCAACACTATTAGGTCAGCATATTAGGGGGTTGAACTCTCCTCTTCCCCCTTCCTTCCTCCTCAGCTGCAGGTACTTGAAGGCCTTGGCGTTGCTGCGGTGTGGCTCAAATCCGTGGAGCACTCGTAGTACGGGAAGGGAGTGACGGTGCATGCTCGCTCACTTGCTGCACCTCCTCCTCTTTTTCCTCTACATCCTTGGCCTCCTCCCTCCCATTCACAAGGGAAGATTGCCTTGTGGTGGTGCTGCCGCTGCTCGACTCCAAAGGCAGCTCCACGTGCTCCAAGCCGGAACTCTTCACCTCTCCAAACCGCACGCCTATCTTCGCCTCATTCTCTGCCTTCCAATCCTTGTACATGAAGTTCTCCATAAACTTGCAGTCCCTGCTCACCAAGAACTTCTTGGTGAATGGGTCCCAAAGAAGCCACCCTTTGCTGTTTTGAGCCATGCCCAAGTGCACAGCCCATGTCGCCTTGGCACCAAGCTTGTTGTGCCGAAGATGCTTAGGCTCGAGCGCCATGCACATGCACCCGAACACCCGAAGCATATCCACCTTTGGCTTTCTTCCAAGCCACTCCACATAGGGCACCCATTTTTCTGCTCCCACATGAGTCAAAACTCTGTTCTTGGCCACACACGCGCTCCGCACCGCATCAGGCCAGAAATAGTCGGGTAGCCCGGCTTCAATGAGCAACCCGCGTGCCGTCTCCGTAATCGTCTAATTCGCTCGCTCGGCGATGCGGTTCATTGCAGGGGAGTATGGCATGGTGAGGGAGTGCCAAATACCATTCTTCTTCAGCCACAATCCAAACTCCTTGCTCAAGAACTCTCCTCCTCAATCGGTGCGTATTGACTTGACTAGACGGTCTTGTTGTCGCTCCACCATCGGGAACCAATCCGTCTTCAACGTTTCAGCCACGTCGCTCTTCTTGGCCAGAACATACACCCAAGTTATGCGGGTGTAGACGTCGACAATGGTGAGAAAATACTCAGCTCCAGCAGCTCCAAGCTTCAGGGGGCCCACCACGTCCATCACCACCTCATCAAGCGGTGTCTTAGCCGTCGCCTCCAAACTAGAGAACGGGAATCGGGTGAACTTGGCTTGCATGCACGTCGGGCAGCCAAGTACCTCATTGGGCTCCCCTTTCACACGTATGCCAGCAACCATCTCATTCTTCACTAGCTGCTGCAAGATGGGCAGGACCACATGCCCCATGCGTCGATGCAAGGAGAGCCAATGACACTCCCCCGTAGCCGAAGTTGGATTGGAGAATGCCGCGCTCGCAATAGCGCCCCACATACTCTCTCCGTAGTCCTCCTTCGCTGCTGCCTCAGGGTTCTCCTCACCCTTTTTCTGCTCCTTGGTTGCTGCACCCCTCTTCTTAGGTTCACTGATCTTGCTGGTCCCTCCAGGTTTACTCTTCTTGAGCTCATTCTCCTTAGCGCGACCGTTCGCGCCATCGTCGCTACCAACCGCTCCATCCTTGGTGCTGATGCTTGCTGCCACTTGCCTCTCCTTAGGCATTGGGACCAATGGGATCTGCCACATTTCGTTGTAGACATCCCTGTCCTCATGAAGGTCCCAAAGAATTCGATCGCCAAGCCTTGTGGTGTAGGTCTTGGCTCCCTTCGAGTTTGTATCCATGTCGGCCTTTGCCAACGGCCGCACAGAGATCAGGTTCGCAGCAAGGCTGGGCACCCAAAGCACGTTCTTGAGGCCGACCATCTTCCCATCAGCACCCTTGAACATGGCCTTGCCCATGCCTTTCACCTCCGCTCGCTGCCCCAAAGCCGATGTGACATGCTTCACCGGTGACGGTTCGAGTTCGGTGAGCAAGTCTGGGCGAGGTGTCATGCTATAGGTAGCGCCACTATCGATCACTGAATAGTCCTAGAGGTGTAGGGTTACCTTCCCCACAGCTGCTGGCTCCTCAAATCCTTCATCCTTCTCTGGACCAGCGGGTACCTGCGTCGACACGAAGTAGAATAGACCCGGGTACCGATCGTCGCTCGGGTCCTTGTCGTTGTCTCCGCTCTTCATGTTTGCAGCTCCGCCACCGCGACCGCCACGGCCTCCACCGCCTCTTCCTCTCCCTCCTCTTGCTCCTCTACCCTCCTGGCCTTGAGTAGGGGTCCATCCTTCAGGGAGTTTGAAGCAATCGCGCCACATGTGCCCGGTCTTGTATGAATAGTGACATTCACCGTCAAATCGGCACCGACTGCGTCCGTAGCTCTTGTCGTCGTTGCCGTAACCGCCACTCCCACGGCCTCTGCCAAAGTTGCTGCCACCAAACCTTCCTCCCCCTCGACCTCTTCCTCTTCCTCGACCATATCCACGGCCGATGCTCGCTGCCCCAACGCCATCCGCACTCGCCAACTCACGGCAGCGGAAATCCTCTTGAAGGATAGCTCGCTTTACGTCTTTAAGCGAGAGGCGGGGCAAGTCGCGATTCAGGTTGATGATGAGCGAGGACCATGACTCAGGGAGTAGGGCCAGCAACTTGGTCTTCTTTTGGAGCTCACTATAGTTCAAATCCGCTCCCTCAAGCCGCGTCAACAAGTCGAAGAATTTCTGCACCCCTTCTTCAACCGCTTCATCCTCTTCAATTCGTAACGTCGCCATTTGCCGTTCCAACACCACAGCTACCGCCGCTGTTGCAGGAGCGTGTACACCCTTGAGAGCAGCCCATGCCTTTGGTCCCTTCTCTGGTTCGCGCTGGAAAGGCTTGATGTGACGGATTTGGCTGCTCCCCAACGCTTCCCAAGTAGGAGATAGCCTTGTGCGCTCTTCCGCACCCACGGGCTCTTCTCCGGGTCGTTCTCGGGACACTTCTCCATTCCTTCCATTACCTCAAGCAGGTCATAGTGGTCAAATATGTTCTCCATTCTGAAGGACCACTCAGCAAAGCTGTCACCATTGAACTTGTCAAGGCCAAACACTCTAGGCTCATCCCTAGATGGGCCAACACTTGGTTGCACGGGCGCCGTGGTTGAATCACGGGGTTGGCCTTGAGCTTGGGCTTCTCCTCTGCCACCAGCACCTCAGCCACCCCTTTGTTCAGGTCCAGCCATTGTTGAAACTGCTCCAAGGGGCTCTGATACCACTTGTTATCGTCACACTAGGCTCCAATGTGCCTAAAACGAAAGATAGAGTGCACAGTCGGATTTCCGCACAGCGGCTTCAAACATTCATAGCGATCTGCTCACAACTCCAAATGACTTCATTTAACTTGGATCTAGAGTGGCTTAACGTCGCCTACTATAGGAAATTTAAATCGCAAATTTTCATTAAGAAATGACGACACAGAGTTGGTTTGAACGAACGGCACTATGGCAGCAACATAGTCTTAGAACACAAGATAGAAAGAGTTAGGAAGAGTTACGAGTTGGGAATGACTCCCAGCTCCTACAAACCCCAAGAGCCGAGGTACAGTGATGTGGAGCAGTGCCACACTGTCCGCAACCACGAAGGGTCTCGAAACTACCCTTCACTAGGGCCTACACCAAGTGAAATGTTACACTACACAAAGTAATGTAACTATCTTCAATATCTTGAGGTGCACCCTTTTGGCGAGCTTCGAAATCACTTGAGGCTGGACATCAAG